AATGCATTTTATTTCATATTGAACATGTACTGTTTAAAAAAATTATAGATTTTTTTTTCTTACCTACTGTCCTACAAGGTCCCCTGGGCTCTGAGAGTCGAGCGTGAGTTTGCTCCTTCTCATGCCTCATCACTAGCAATAAAGTCTTAACAGGCTAGATTGGGGCAGGCAATTATTTCAGGTGGGGGGCTGCTTACCCAGTTTTGGCAAGCTATTGAGGGCCAAATGGGTAGCCCTGCCCCTTGACAGGTGCCCCACCCCCTGGTCACCATCTTGGGGCCAGTGCCTCAGTGTCTTGGGACTAATGTCCCAGGGCCAGCACTGGTAGGCTGGCAGGGTTCTGTGGTGCCAGGCTGGGCTGCAACCAGCAGGGAGAGGGGGGAGCTGGCCCAACTCCATAGAGCCCCTGATGGCCGGGACCCTGTACCACTGCCACCCTGCTTTGGGCCCTTCTGGTGCTGGCCCTGGGACACTGGTGTAGGCCCTGTGCTCCCTCACCCGCTCACTTCCAGTGTCCGCCCAGCCATGTGGTACAGGTGTGCAGGGGTACCGCACAGATCCGACCCTCTGCTCACCTGCAGGAAGGAGCTGGTGTGGAGCATGGGGAAAAGCGGCCCCTCCCCCACCCCATGGCTGGCGCTCTCTGCTGTAGCTGCTCACAGCCTGAATGAGGCTGTCCTGAGCAGGCACAGGCAGCCCCATGTCAGCTGCAAGTGGCTGCAGTGCAGGGCATCAGGCACGGGGTGAGGGAGGGGCTGCTTTCCCCCCACTCCCCGCATTCAGCACCAGCTTATAACCTGACCCTGCTGCCAGACTGGGCCCTGTGCCAGCTCCAGGCTCACCTGTCAGGGCTGTGCCACAGTGGGAACAGCTGTGGCTCCCCCACTTGCCAGGCCAGGGTGTGTTTGCTGCTGCTGCCTGCCTGGAGCTCACGTTCTGGGCTGCACAGAGGCAGCGGTGGCAGCCTCACTGCAGCCTACTATAGTGCAAGCACCAGGTGGGCAACAGCAGCAAATGCTGCCCAGCATGGCAAGCGGGGAGGGGGCTGCAGGTGCTGCTGCCACGGTGCAGCCCTGACAGGCAAGCCCGGAGCCGGAATGGGGCTGGGTTACAAGCTGATGCTGAGTGGGGGCGGGAAGCAGCGCCTCCCCTGCCCTGTGCCTGATGCTCCATGCTGCAGCTGCTCGTAGCCCACATGGGGCTGCCTGTGCCTGCTCAAGACAGCTCAGCGTGGGCTGTGAGTGGCTGCATCAGGGAGCGCTGGCCATGGGAGGGGCCGCTTTTCCCCGTGCTCCCCACCAGCTCTTTCCTTGCCCTCCCCCACCCTTACCTGAGTTTCCCATGCCAGGGCAGCCACGTGGTCCCAGGCCAGAAGCCCCTGCTGGGGTTTCTGGCTGGTGGGGCAGGGCCAGGCAGGCCCTGCTGTTGCAGGAGCCCACCGAGGTTTCCCCTGGGTCCTACTGCCTCCGGTTTCTGTCATTTTTTTACATGAACCAAGGACAGATACATTTTAATTTTCAAAAAAAATTTAGGGGCCCCACAGGCCAGATACAATGGCTTCACAGGCTGGATCTGGCCCGTGGGCCATATTTTGCCCACACCTGGGCTAGATGATACATTTTTATCTCCAAGTGTTAATCCTCTTTTCTTCATTACCCATTGAAATTGCCATTAGGAGCTTAAATACCCATATTTCAGATTTCCCTTCCCATTCTGTTTCACAAATGAAGAGTTTTACATTTCGGGTTAGTAAATTGGGGAAGAGTTCCAAGCGTAGTAGAGGTTTTCTAATTCTGGAAGAAATGGTTTATCAATTTGGAGCAGCTCTGCCTCAAATACTGAGAAAGCACCAGCATAAGTCAGGGAAAATGCATATCCTAATTCACTAAGGGTTTTGTAAATAAACAGACAATTTTCCTAGATGCAATTCTAGATGAACTCATTATGAAGCATTTGAACTGTGTATTTAGGCTCTTTTATTGTGCCCCTCAATGATTAATAATACCTAGCTCTTCATTATGATATATTCTAGGGCTTCTTGGATAATCATTACATAATTGTCTGACTCGGATTAGCTGCTTGTACTGGGTAATTATGTCTTTGATCAATTGCTGTACAAGGATATGCTTCCGTTCTGGTATCAGCATACTCTGATTTCTCTTTGCGGTTGCATAAAATATATTTGTAGTTTAAGTACTTTGCATGGTGCACACTAATTTTGTCCTCTTAACTTGACCATATTTTGGAGAAAAGTTGATGTCAGCATTTTTAATAAAGAAATGTAGGATGGAAATGACCTCCCATGTCCATTTTCCTGTAAAGTTGGGCAAATCTTTAATAGACATATGTTCAAAAGGTTCCACAAAATATCCAATGTGCACTATCAGATACCAGCTGCTAGACATTTTTGAGAAAGAACTTTTTTGTTCAAATTAACTTTATTGCTATTTCCCATATCTATGTACAGTATTAGGACTGTACAAAGCTTCATCAGCTGATTCAATCTGGTGGAGATTCAGCCCAATTCAGCAGTTGGATCTCCAAATCCAAATCAAATTGGGAGACCAATTAAAAGGTCCAAATTGAATCGGAAGCCTTCACATTGATTCAGAAAAGATTTGGCACTGATTCGGAGATTTGGCCATAGACTAAACAGGCAGGAGTCCTCACCACTCTGGAAACAGCTGCCTCCAACTGGTAAGTCTGTTGTGGTGGGTGGAGTGGGGAGGGAAGGGGCACGGGGGGGCAGATCAATGGCCCCACAGCAAGGGAGGGATTGGAGCTGGGACAAGTTGTCCAGCTGAGGCACAGGGGGGGGTGTGGGACTCAGGGAGAAGGGTTCCCACCACTGTGCACCACCAGTCCAGGATGGCATGAGAGTGGGCATGTGCTCCTGGATCTGTGCAGGGTGGACTGGGCCAGGCTGCACTCCGGGTGGCAGAAGGTGTTGGGAGCAGAGGCTGTGCCCTCCTTTCATTCACCCAGCTTCCCCGCACCTTCCGGACAAGCCATGGCTTCACCCCAGCTGGGCGAGCAGCAGCAGGGCATGGCAATGGGTGCATGCACCCTGATTGGGGAGGGACTGGCGGCAGGGGCTATGGAGAATTTTAGGCTGGCTGCAGCGCCCCATAGCCCCTGCTCCACTGTGCTCTGTGGGGCAGGCAGAGCCAGGGCTGTTCTCCAGGCTGTGGCTCAGGCTAGCCGCTCAGAGCACAGCCCTGGCCCCACCTGCCCCGCAGAGCACAGCCCAGGGGCAGGCAGCTGGGGCTAGCCTCCCAGAGCACTGCCCTGCCCAGCCCACCCTACACAGGTTTGGGGGCCCATGCCCTCCTGGATCGGTGACCCACAGTGGTGGGAGAACCTCTCCTCGGGTCCCCTGTTCCCCCACCCCAGATGGGCGGCCTGCAGCCTCAGCCCCAATCCCTCTCTCATTGTGCAGTCACTGATCTGCCCCCTCCCATGGCCCTTCCCCCCCACCTCTGCCCACCACAACAGACTTACCAGCTGGAGGCAGCTGTGTCTAGCGTGGTGAGGATTCCTGCCTGTTTATTCTATGGCTGAATCTCCCAATCAGTGCCAAAACGCCTTATCCAAAATGGGTAAATCGAATCAGGACAGTGATTTGAATCACTGAATCGAATCACTGTCCCTCCGAATCGGCTGAATCCGAAGCAAATACTTGCCACTTTGCACAGGCCTAGTATGTATATCTGTGTGTGCTTTTTATATCTCTATCTCTCTATTTATCTATCTGTGTGTGTGTGTGTGAGTGTCTATATAGACAAATAGATATAGATATATATAAATAAAACACACCAGGTAGAACCTATTGTTTTACTAAAAGTGTGCACAGTGTAAACATAAATAAAAAGAAATAAGAAATTATATGATCAGAGAAAATAATGGCAGATAATGTTGTAGAACAAAAGTAACCTAGCAGGACTTTGAACACAGTAACTGAAAATCCTTAGGGCATATGAAGAAGATGCATTGGGAAATGAATATTGTATTAAAGTTACCACCATAGAAAATGAAAAATAATGCAAAGAAAAACTGAATATGTATGAGTAGCTATTTTATTGTGAGTCTGCCTAATAACTACCATGGCAGTTAACTTCTTCTAAATTTGAAATTCTATCTTATTAGTAGAAATAATGCCTTACACTTAGCATTTAATTTCAGTGAGCCCAAGGTCAGATGCTTAGACAGGACATGCACAAAGCAATAGATGGATAGACAAATAGATAGATGGATAGATAAATAGTTCTGATGATTTATTTAGTCTGTAAGGTGCAAATCTATCCTGTCTTTTGCCTGACTTCAGACTAACATGGTTAACGACCTCTCTCTACATGCAGTCTGTCAATGTTGTTGAGACTGAACCTATGTTCTAACTCTGTACCTTAATGCTGTGGAACCTGTTTTCTGATTAAATATGTTTTTGAAGGTAGAATTTAAGTGAGTCCAAAGTTCATTAAAAAGTGTGTGTGTTTGTGTGTGCATGTGTGTATTAAAGTTTATAAGTATAAATAGAAGCTGAATTTTGCAATACAGTATTACAGTTAAACTGGACAGGGCTTGCTTCCCACCTCCTTCCTCCTCTCCCCCTCCACTTCATTTGAAGAGAGATACAAAAGTAACATCCCCTATTTGTTACTGTTGTTAAATAAATCAATCGAGACAATCTAGGTGAAATTAAAAATATTATTAGCATAAATGTTTAATGAGTTTTACAGATTTATTTTAATAAATGTGATGTGCAAAAGGAAAATACAAAACTATGACTGTATTAAAATCAAATTCTGTCTTCATTAATACCAACCAATATCCAGAGCATCATTACCTTTAGAATATTTTGCTTTGCAAAGTAGACACTTGATATTTGCAGCACAGGTTTGTTGCCAAGATGAAGAACACGATTATTGTAGTGCTGTTAAGGTAATTATGATCACCTTGTTTTTAATCTTTCC